TGTGGTGTGTGTGGTGTGTCGTGGTGTGTCGTGGTGTGTCGTGGTGTGTGTGGTGTGTGTGGTGTGTGTGGTGTGTGTTGTAGAGTCGAGGGAGCTGATACAAGCGAGCCCGTGAGGTTTCGTGTATCAGCCAAAGTGCGCGGCTCATGGTCGCGACTCCACACGACTCAGGAGGTCGCGCGCCTCTTCGGCGCGCAGATCAAGAACAAGCTCGGGTGGTACACGGACCTCAAGAACTACAACACCGAGGTCATGGTGCGGCGCCAATCGTCGCTTTGGCCTTCTTCTTACATGTTTGCGCTGACTCGGCTCACACACGACACGACACGACACGACACGACACGACACGACACAGATCCATCTGAACGACGAGCAGCTGGTCATTGCGCTTCCTGTGGGCCGCGTGCCCATCTCCAAGCGGTCCTACATGGCCTCGTTCGGGCTCCGACCGCCCGTCGCCTGGGCCATGGCCAGGTTTCCAACCCCCCCATTCACCACTGCGCTAGGGTGGTGCGGCCCTGCCGGTGATCACATCTGACGGAGCCAACCCAACTGTAGGCTTGTGGAGATCGGCGAGGAGGAGGTTGTGTGCGACCCCATGTGCGGCGCGGGCACGCTGCTGATCGAGGCCGCGCAGGAGTGGCCCGGCGCGTGCTACGTCGGCATGGACGTGAGCAACGAGCAGCTCGGCCTGTGCTTGGACAATCTCCAGCAGTCGCGCACACAGTCGCGGATCGCCGTGTGTCGCGCGCGAGTCGAAGGTATGATTTGTTTATTCAGTCATTTATTTATTTATTTATTATTATTTATTATTGTTATATGTGCAGCGTTGCCGCTCAGGGACGAGTCGGTCGACGCCGTGGTGTGCGATCTGCCCTTCGGGCGCAAGTTCCAGGTGGGCGACGCGGCGGCCCTCGCTCGCCTCTACCGCGCGTTCGCCGCCGAAGCGCTCCGCGTCTTGCGCCCGCTTGGCCGGTACCCTGCGCCCTTGCCGACCCCCCTCCTGGCCCCAAGTGCTGACTGGCGTGTGTGTGACCAGGGCGGTGCTGCTGACGTCACAGACGGAGACGCTCGAGGAGGCGCTGCGAGCGGTGGACGCGGACGGCGGTACCTATTGCTGGTCGGCCCTCAGTGAAAAGCACTACGTAAAGCTGGGCGCGCTCGAGGCCTGGATTCACTGCGTGTGCAAAGAGCGGACGAGCGACGACGACAAAGAGCGAAGACGATCGCGGCTTCGCGAGGAGGAGAGAACACGGAAGAAGCGGAAGGAGGAGGACAGGGCAGAGGCGAACGATGGCGGAGAACAGTTAGAGGAGAAGAAGAGAAAGAAGAAGAAGAAGAAGAAGAAAGAGAAGACGGATGATGATGATGATGATGATGAAGAAGAAGAAGAAGATGATGAAGATGAAGCGGCACGGAAAGACAAGGACAAGGAAGAACGAAGGAACCGCATCTTCAACGCGCTCTACTTCCGAAAATGACACCTGCATACCAGCTCTTGGGAGTGCAGAGAGAACGTAACGAGAGGCTTGGCATTGTGCGCAAAAGAAAGCAGTGAAAGCTAAACAAATGGGTGACTGGCAGAAGGTGCCGCTGCAGACAGACTCTCAGTTTCAGTTGGCGTAGAAGTCGATCACGGCGGTGCCGCGGTTGCCGAAGCCGTGGTACTGGAGCTGGTTGGGGTCGCTGCTGCCCAGGTTGCCGTGCGCCCAGATCACGTTGGTCGGCCCGGGCAGGATCGGGTGGTCGGCCACCGTGTCGCCCGTCTTGGCCTCCCTCACGATCGTCACCGTCGAGAACGGCAGAGGGTAGCTCGTCTGCGCACACAAAAGAGATGACGTCAGCAGCAACCTTAAGATGCATAGATCTGTGCCCAACAACGCACGCACCTGGAAGGCGGAGTAGGCGAGGATGTTGTTGGCACCGCCGATGTCGGTGTCGAGCACGGGCGGGCCGTAGCCGCCGTTGCTCGACGTCGAGTAGCGGTCGCTCACGGTGATGTTGCGGTTGTTGAAGGTGGTGAGCACGAAGTCGGCCTGCGACATGCCGCCGGCCGAGGCGTTCTGGGCGTGCCAGCCCAGACCGACCCAGCACTGGCAGTTGACCTGGAGGGTGAGCGCGATGACGGGTCCGCCCGTGGCGGTGCCCTGCGTGGTGATGGTCCACGAGAGGGTGAAGTCGGGGTGGAGGCGCGCGATGCCGCTGTAGTCGGCGCCCTGGGCTAGCGCCACCAGTCCGACCAAAACGAAGACGACGGCGGCAAACGACGAAGACGAAGAAGAACGAAGATGCATCGTCGTCAAGCTTTGATTGAGGTCGGGGGCGTGGAGCGCAATAAAACGAAGATATATCGCCGTTACGAAAAGCGAAGTATCTTTGCCCCTCTCTCCTGTGTGGCTCGCTCTCCGCTTCACACACAGACGAAAAAGAGAAAAAAGATGGCTTTTTGGATATAAATTTATATGTTTGTAATGTATGCCCCTGTCCGCGCATCAATGGAAACGTAGATCATTGAAGAGGCATTTATTTGTGGGTTTGGCGAGCTTAGAACAGGAAAGCGACCTGCTTGCCGGTGAGCTTCTTGTAGAGCCTCGAGAAGGTGTCGAGCTTGTACTCAACGTTGTTCTGGTCCTTCTTGTCGAGGTACCTGAGAGAGGAAAGGAGGACGGGTAAGTTCACCGCATTGGGGCAGCGTAATGAATGGGAGGGTGAGCCGGAGATGAGCAGCCGTCGTACACTTTGTAGAGCCTGGAGCCATCGAGCCTGATGCGGATGCGCTTGCCAGTGATCTCGGTGGGGTAGACGAGGTCCTCAAGGATGGCATCATGTACAGCGGTGAGGGTACGGCTCATGGGCCTCTTTTGCCTCTTCCTCCTGTTCTTCTTGCCGATGACGGGGAGGATGCGACGGTTGGCGATCACGACGACGTGCTGGCCGCTGAACTTCTTCTCGAGCTCGCGGACAAGACGGGCCTGGACCTTGTGGAAGCCCTTGAGGAGACGGAAGGGCACGAAGACGAGGATGGCGGTCTTGCCAGCACCGAGGTCAACCTGCCTGGCGCCGCTGATGAACAGCTCCTTGAGGTCACCCTTGAGATCAGTGGCGTTGACCTCGAGGTCGAACAGGGCCTGGGCGACCTGAAGCTCGAACTCGGTGGGTTCGGCGTTCTTTTCCTTCTGGATCTTTCTGCGAGCCGTGTACATGATGCCTAATGCTGCAAATGCAAACCAAATTCGTCAGTTCCCGGGTCCGGATGAGAGAAGAATTCGAATGAAGATGGATTGATCACTAAGAGGACTAGAGAACGTAAAGGTACAACGCACACGCCCCTCCCACTCCACCAATCAAACCATAAATCCAGAGATGGAGTTCGTACAAGCCTCAGCTGGGGCAGGGAGGGATACAGCTGGAAGCGGGGAGAGAAGAGAGAAAGGAAGGCTTCGTCTTTTCGCCCCAACAAAAAGCCGGGCTTTACTTTTTATGTTCGGTTATTTCCCGGATTTGATTTTTCTCTTTTGCGTGTTCTTGCCGAGAAGAAGATGGTGGTGGGTAGTGCTTGCCTGATGCAAGAAACTTGTTTAAACGAGTAGTATGAAATGACACAAAATGATCAGCCCACCTCTCTCTTCGCTCGCGAGGCCACATTGCTTCTTCTGCCGTTTTGTTCATCCTCCTTGCGACTCGTGCTCCACCACCGCGATCCTTCCATCTATCGCACACAGTGAGCGACGCCCTTCCACCTCCATAACGTCACATCGCTTCTTCTCCTCCATCGTCATCCATCCAATCTTCGCGTGCCGTCTCGGGCTAGCACGCGCAGCCGTCCGAGCCACCAGTGGCAACCGCGCTGCCTGGTCTCGCCATGTTGTTCTCTACAATTCCAGATCCCGAGTCCTTCGGATCCACCGCCTTCGCCTAAACATGATCGAAGAAGGTCGAGGCCAAACGTCAGCCATCGCACCATCACCAATGCACTTCTACAGTCGAAGGAGACAATGACACATAGCGAAGAAGAAGAAGAAGAGAGAGAGAGAGAGAGAGAGAAGAAAAACGCAACCCACAAGCAACGCCACGCGTGCGCGTGTGCAGCGACACGAGTGAGCGTACCTCGACTTTGGAGAAGATGGACCGGGCGCACTTCAAAAATACCTCCTCCACATTGTCGCCGGTGAGGGCGGATGTTTCCAAGAACATCAAGTCTGAAGAGAGCAAAGCCAATGAAGTGAGCCAGCGAGACGAAGGAAAGAGAGGGGCAGCAATGTAGTGGCGGCGTGGACGAAGCCGTGGGCGAAGGTGGAGCGTACTGTTCTCCTGAGCGAATCGGGACGCCTCGATGAAAGTGACCTCCCTCTCGTCCTCCAAGTCCTTCTTGTTGCCCACGAGGATGATGACGATGCCAGCGCTGGCCAACGTCCTCGCGTCCTCCAGCCAGGTGCTCAAGTGGTTGTACGACTCGCGACTGAGCGACATGAACAAGAGCAACAAGATGAGCACGGTCAACATCGTGGCCCCATACACAAGCGCTGAGGTCAATAAGAAAAGAGGAGGCAAACCTCGTGATGTCGTAGACGAGAAGAGCACCAGCTGCGCCGCGGTAGTAGCTCCTTGTGACTGACCTGGAAGAAAAAAAGACACACGAATGGTCAATAAGGCGAACTGTGGCGCCAGCCGTCGGCAAGACAGACGGCAAGGCAGACAGCCAAAGCGCCGAGGAAAAGTTGATGCCTACCGGAACCGTTCTGTGCAGAGGAGGGGGGAAATCGTCAGACCGACGTAATGCGCCAATTTGAGGCGAAGATGTCCGTAATAGAGAGATGGATACCCTGTCCGGCAGTATCCCAAATTTGCAGCTTGATGTTGTTGCCCTGGATGTTGATGATCTTGGAGCCGAACTCCACACCGATGGTGTGGGTGGAGTCCCGCATGACTGCACAGGGATGAAATGAGTGGTGATGCCACAGAGCAAGCGATAGAGAGATGAAGATGTGCACGTCAGCAGAGAGGGGATTACATTTGTTGTCGATGAAGCGGTGGAGCAGGCAAGATTTGCCCGTAGCGGCGTCACCAATGATGATGAATTTAAACAGGTAATTGTATCGCTCGGCCATCTTTTGTTCCTCGACTTCTCTTTGTCTGCTACTCGGTCTAGTGTCACGCCCTGTCTTTGCCTCTTTCTTCTTTCACCTCCTCTCGATTTGATTCGATTGATTTTACGCACACACTCTAATTGAATTTTCGATTACGAAAGAGCTGTCCGTGAGTCGTGGGACCCGTGTCTTTTTCGTTTGCCTTTGCCCGCAACAGTTGGCACTGTGCCCTCTTCGTCGACTTCTCCTCTTCCCACCAGCGGCGGGACGCCATCATTCCTTGAATGCCAGAATATTTCAACCACGCACCGACCGACCACGAGGTTCGGGCGAAGGTCGGGCCAGCCTCTTGTTGTAGGCTGCCCCAACTTGTTTGATGGGAAGTTAGGAAGTGTTGCTGGTGCCAGGCTCATCTTCAACTCACTGTCAATAGCACACCTGTGTTTTGTATTTACAAGACAGATCAGGGTGGGGTCAATCAGTAGTGCCACGTGTCGTGGAAGCGAAGTGCGGTGTTGATGGCCGCGTGCAGGAAGTAGTCGCCCCAGCCGTTTTGCTCCGTGCCTCGGTGGTGCTCGTGTGCCTCCTTCCAGCACACGAACACCAGCTTCACCAGGTGCTCGTCGTGGCTGGGCATTACCTCTGCAACGACGTCGGCCCAGCTGCTCATAGCCTTCCTCCGCTCGCTGGTAGCGTTCTCCTTCTCTTTCTTGGCCTCGTCTTCGTCGTGCTTGATCGCGTCGGGAGTGACGTCGCTCACTGCCGGCCGGTCGACGGCGATGTACGAACACACGACCGAGCGCCAGAAGTAGCCGAAGGCCGACGCCACGAGCTCGGCGTCGTCATCGCTGACGTCCTCCTCCTCCACCTGGCTGAGCCCGCAGAGGGCGGCGAGCGTCACCTTGAGCGCGCGGAAGGCCGTGACGAGGTGAAGCACGAAGAAGTACTGGTAGCCGCTCGACGCAAACACCTTGAGCGCCGAGAGCGTGAACAGGTCGATCAGGGCCTCGATTCTGCTGCGCCTGGTGGAGCTGGCATCATCATCACGCCGGCCCACGATCAGGGGTCGGAAGTCGAGATCGTAGGGCGCAATGCCGTCCTGGTACTGCGCCGCCAGGAGGTGGAGCCGCTTTTGGAACCCGAGCTTCTTGTTGTCGCCCGTGAACACTTCACCAAAGCGGGCATCCTGCCTTACTCGGTCGAGCAGCGCCATTACATCGCTCGGGCTCAGTGTCGCAGACGCAGCCTCATCGCCTGTGACGCTCGCGGTCGTCTTAGGGTGGCCAAGGGAGTAGAAGGAGTAGGTGAAATAGGCCAGGCCCTCAGCTGCATGACCGCCAGACTCGTCAGTAAGTAGTGCTCTGCGCCCAAGCCAATTGTTTGGATGTGCGTCAAAGGGGGTGGGTGTACCGATGTTGGGCACGTCCATCACCTCAAGAGCATAGCCGAGCTGGATGACGCCGTGGAAGGCCGATCCACATACTCCTTCAAGCAGATCAGGCACATAGCGCCGCAGCTGTCACGGGAAAGGCAGTTGTCAGATGACGAGCGAGCAAGTAAGCAAGTGCTCGGAGAGGTGGTACTGTGGTCCGAACGCCCAGCTGCTCAAGCTCTCGGCTGAAGAACGCCACCAGGTCAAGGTAGTGACTGCGGTGGATGACGTACATGTCAGCAAGGAGGCAGGCAGCAGCATGGTAAAGAGAGTCTCTGCAGGCACGCACCTCTTCTTGCCTCGGTAGTCTCGCCAGGTGTCGCTTTACACATCAGCTGGTATGAGTAGGGTGCAGGGAGAAAGTGCACCCAAAGAGCGGTGAGGGGTCACATACGTGGTGATGGTCGTTGTGGGTGGTCTAGCCGGCTCCAGTTTGGTGTCGGTGCTGTAGTCCTCGTAGGCTTTCTCCAGGCGCTCCTTTGACGCTGCACCAGCACGACAGGTTACCACTGGCAGCTTCTTCTCAGAGGTGTTGCATGAGAAAGGGAGGCCGCGCACCTCCGAGCTCATAGAGGGCGACGAGGTAGTGCGACATGTGGTTGCTCAAATACCCTCCGTACTCGATGTCGAACTCGTTCCTGTTGCGTGCCAGCAGTCTGCAGCCACCAGGTGAGCAGTGGGGGGGGGGCACGCCAGCACGTCAGCACCAGAGAGAGGGGTGAGGACGTACTGGCAAAGAGTGCTCCTCCGCTCCTGTTCTTGTTGTGCCATCGATCGTGCCAATGCCCGCTTGAGCAATGCGTGGGCTTGCTTGTAGTTGGGGGTGAGAAAAATATAAAGAATGGAGTGTTTTATAAGAGAAAACCAGGCCAAAACGCCGAACCGGATTTTACCAAAAGGAGATAAATAAAAGTATAAAAATTCCCGCAGTGTATTCGGAATGCCGCTTGAGCCAAGTGGTCAAGAGCGCCAGAGGCTGTGCCCCTCGTCGACAATCAGGCCGTCGAGTATGGCCTCCTTGAGCCGATCGTGGAGGCGCACCACCTCCTCACCATACCGCTTGGTCCACCGCTTGCGTCGATAGTCTTCTCTGTCGGTCTCACTGTCTCCAACGTCGCCCTCAACTGCGCTGCTCGTGCCTGCTCGTGAGCTGGTCGATGCGCGGTTGTCGCTGCGGCCTCCGGCGAGCTTGGCACGTCGGTGGCGGTTGGACCGTGCCCGGCGCTGGGGCGTGAAGGCCGACGCCTGGGTCCGCAGGTGGTCCTCGTGGGCCTTCTCGCTGGCCCAGGCGTCGACGTAAGCGTCGTACCACTCCCGCCCATCGAAGTAGATGTAAGGTGGCGGCAGCTCGAGCGGATCGTTACACAGTTCGTGGCCCTGCAACGATGTCGGTGTGTGTCGGTGTGTGTCGTGTCGTGTCGTGTCGTGGTGTCAATAGAACGACACGGTTGCCAAACATCAAATGTGACGTACCAGCAGTGCGTGCTGCACGCCGACTTGGTAGAGCGTGCCCAGGCAGAGCACCCGCTTCCGATCATTGGTCTCGAGTCCTCCCGGCCACGCAGGAGCGGCCTCTTCGCGCGGCTCCGCCACCAGCAGATCGACCCGACCGCCGTTGCTCGCCACCACGTCTCGCTCCTTCGACAGCCGCAGCACAACATGGAGCAGCAGCGTGTCGAACTCCCACTCCTTGAACGCCGGATTGCGTCGACACGAGCGGTAAGATGGCGGCAGGCGATCAGCAGCATTGCTTGCTCGCCCCGGGCCGCCGGCCTCGCTCGTGGACTCTTCAGCGTGCGGCGCCTGGGGTGGCTGGGTCTCGGGCGGCTCGCCCTGAGTGAGCAGGAACCGGAGCACGCAACAGGGGACGAGGAACTGCCGAGGGACCTCGTCGGAGCGTCGGAATGGCGCCCAGTTGGCGTTGAAGAGGTGGAGGAACGTGCAGAGTCGCATATCGGTGGCCGCGTCAGCAGAGTGGAGTTCTGCAACGGACGGGAGCTCCACGGCGGCTCGCATGGCCGCGCTCGAGCCCTGGTCTGCCCAGACCACCTGCACCGGGGTCTTGGCCAGGTAGTCGGACTCCGTTTGCCTAATCTCGTTGATCGTGAGCGTGACGGAAGTGGTCTTGGTACTCCGTTTCCTTCTCCTTCTGGTGGCCTTCTTCCCGTTGGTCGCCTCTGACTTGTTGCTTACGTCATCAGCCCCGGCGCTCCCAGTCTTCTCCCGGGCCTGGGTGGAGCCCTCTGTGGCATTGCCGCCGAGCATCGCCGCTTGCCTTTCTCGCGTCCTCTCCTTCTTGATCTCTAGTTTCTCGGCGCGCGTTTCCCTTCGTTTCTTCGCCTCCACGGCTAGAAGTATGCCATAGAGCTTCCTTCGCACGGGCCTGAGCAGCTGATATCGAGTGGTGAGAAGCCGGGCTGATGCGAGCTCGGCTTAGGCTGCGTGGGTGGTAGCTGGTACCTTGTACGGATCGCGGAAGTTGGCGTGGTCGGTGAGCGCGACCGAGCACCAGAACTCAGAGTCATGGAGCACGCCCACGAGCGAAGGGAATAGCTCTGCCCGACGAAACCGTTCCGTCAGCACCTGCATCGACGATTCGTTTGTAGCGGCGTTTAGTTACACGCCGCCCTGACGATGCGGTGCTGAAGAGTGCACGAACGTCGTTGATACCACTGTCGTAGGTCAGTGGAAGCTGGCCTTGCCCCGGTAAGACCCTCCAACTTCGCTTGAGGGTGTAGGCATCTATGCTGGCCCGCAGCAGGCCTTCGTAGAACGCTTGCGCGTTGTCCACGGCATGATCTAGGATCTTACAGAGCACTCGTTCCACATCGTCGTCCGCTACGTCCGTGCTCTGAGCATCAGCCGTGGTCCTTTCGTCGGTGGGCTCGCCCTTAGAGGCGGTGACGGTCTGCCGGGCGAAGAACAGCGACACCTTCTCGATGACGGTGAAAAACGACTGTTCGTGGCTGCCCCCGATGATGGCCTGCCGCAACGGGCCGATGAGCTCCTTTGTGTAGTCATTACCGACGATGCCTGAAAAGAGCGGCAGCCACTGCAGTGTTCAAATACAAGCCCTCATGAGAGAAAGCACTCAACATATACACGGCGTGGTGGGTGCTGACAGACCTTGTGGTGGAAGCCTAGAAGGCGGGAAGTTTCCTCTATGTTGAAGGCCTGAGCGACGATCTTGCAGCCGCGGCTGCCATTGGCCTTACTGTTTCCTTTGGGCGCACGGAACTGTAGGCTCTTCAGGCAGAAGTAGCGCTTGTTCTGGCCCATCTGAAAGATGAGAAAGTCTGAATCCTTCCCCAGCACTCCTGAGCGTGTACGATGATAAGGAATCATTCAGCACCACGACGGTGACTGTGTGCGGCAAAGTGATCAACGCGACTGGTGGTACGCTGCGTACCGATGCAGTTGGGGTGGGCGGCGGCATGCTGGGCAAGCTCAAGGTCTCCCTCGAAGTAGGAGAAGGACACCGAGGCACCAGCGGAGCGCAACGCATGGACCATGGTGCGCTTGAGTACGAAGCGAAACCACACAAGTGTGAGATCGTGCCCGTCAGTGCAAGACACAGCACAGGTTCAGGTGCATACCATGGAGAGTATCGGCAGAATGCCGTCTTTGAAAGGATTCTCGATCTTCTTGTTGTACTGCACAAAGTCGAATAGGGTACTAACCCTCACCGCAGTCCTGCCACACTACGGCGTCACGCCAGAAGAAGCAGAAAGAAACCCGAAAGACGAACCACCAGTGACGGGTGCGGTACCGTTGCCGACGGGCCAACATGGCGGTGCGTTTCATGGGCAAGGCCAAGCCGTCGATGTAGACCACGAGATCGAGGCCGTTGCTGCGGAATGCCTCAACAAACTGCACCGCTCGCTGCGCAAGCTTGAACACCGAGTCAAGGAACCGAACACGCGCGAGCAAGAGACGCCACTGTGCGCGGCGCATACAACACGTCACAGGCACGCTGGCGTCAAAGGATATTGTTCGTAGGGTCCGCCGAGTATGTAAGGCAGGGACTGCGGGTACTCGTGCAGCCAGTAGAGCAGCCCCGACCCATCCACGCACAGCGTGGCTCTGCCTGAAACCACAAGGTACGTAAGATGCACAAGATGAGTTTAGGCACGTTGTTGATGTGAGTGGGGGGCGAGGCAGCGCACCATCTTTTGCTGGTAGTGTAGCGGCCACTTTGCCGAGATCAACCGGGCGCGGAGCATCACTGCCCCCGCCTCGCCCGGCTTCCACATATGCCTGCAACCCGTGCACACCCATAAATCTACAGATCAAGTGCACGAAGAGGATGCAAGGCTGGGGTGCGAGCGGACAGGCCGCGGGTTTCGCTGTTGTGCTGTCTTGCTGTTCTTTCTTCCGCGCAGTGGATGTTCGTGAGAACAAAAGGCCATCGCCCAGCCGCCGACCTAACAGGACGCCTCATGGTGTAGTTGGCAGCATATAGGTTTCTGGTACCTGGGACCCCAGTTCAAATCTGGGTGGGGCGATATCTCTTTTTTAAATGGGCAGGACCCACTTCTGGGCATCTGATGCGGAGGGACTGCCACCTCCTGGTACTCTCCACTATGCAGGCTGGAGGGACTGAAAAAGTTAACTTTCAGACTGGGTGAGTCTGGATCCTGTTCCCACCCTCAACACCAAAAAGCTGCACATTTCCAGCAGAGCAATGCCATTGAGAACTTGCAATCAAGGAGCTCACTGCACCCAATGTGCTGTGTCTTCTGCCACATATGATCACATTGAATGAGGCACGCCAGCTTGTTGTTGTCCAAACCATTTATATGGGCTTAAACTCACAAACAAAATCACTTTTCAAAATAACTGAATCTCATTTCAAATAAGCACAAGTTCAAGGTTGCTTGTGCCTCCTTAGCCAAAAGTACTTCTGTGCTTGTTCTTGGCAAGCTGGCCTGATCTTGATGAAGACCATGGCCACCTTAGACCTACCCACACCAAAGAACTGCCTGATCTTGAGCTGCTAAGGAGGGGAAAAAGAAGGTCAAGTAATGTTGTTGTGTATTGCATGCAGCACCTGAGGTTTGTTACTGAGCCCCATGTATGGCACATTGGGCTGACTGTGCAACCCTCTTGATGTATCTTTTGAACCTCAATCAATTCTAAAATTCCATAATCAGTGGCCAACATACTACTCACTTCATGGTCAACCTCACCACATGTGGGCTATCTATGTGTTCATGTTCAACCTCACACCATATTCAGTCAGTTGCACACATGGACTGAACTTCATTCTTCACATTTGTGCTGAATTGGAGCACAAATCCTGAAGATAAAATTCCACCACAACAACATTCCATCTCACATTGACAATATCACCTTAACTCCACACATTTCATTTATGAAATCCTCAGCCTCAGCCTCAACCTCAGCCTTGGCCTCCCTTGCTGCAAAGGCCCTCACCCTGCTCCAGGGTGGAGTCCATCATCAGTTGCCCCCCAGCTAGCCACACAGCCCATGGCCAGATGGCCCCTGTAGATCCCAGACACACAATTAAGAGAAGCCCATCTGTATCCCTCCACAACATGATGAAGTGGTCATGACTCACATAGACCTGGCCAGCATCAGCAACATGCCTTGGCACACCAAGTACTAGCATCTTCCTCTGCACCTCAATCCCAGCTTCTTTTGCCACCCAAAAGGCCATTAAACTTGCCCTCAGTGCACTCACTGGGTTTATTATAGATTGATTGGAATACCATTTTAGCATAGTGATATGGCTAGAAGGCCAGCCTGCATAGTGGAGAGTACCAGGAGGTGGCAGTCCCTCCGCATCAGATGCCCAGAAGTGGGTCCTGCCCATTTAAAAAAGAGATATCGCCCCACCCAGATTTGAACTGGGGTCCCAGGTACCAGAAACCTATATGCTGCCAACTACACCATGAGGCGTCCTGTTAGGTCGGAGGCTGGGCGATGGCCTTTTGTTCTCACGAACATCCCCTATGAAAGAAAAAAAAGCAAGGCAGCACAACAGCGAAACCCGCGGCCTGTCCGCTCGCACCCCAACCTCGCATCCGCTTCGTGCAGCCTGCAACGAGCGGCGAATGGAGACCAAGGGAGCTGCCAGCCGCAAGAGGGCGAGGTCGAACAGCCGAGGCGGAGCTGATGATGGCGCTGCCAGCCCGGTGGCCGCCTCCGATCGGTCCCACAAGAAGATGAAAATCGATGACGACTCATCGACCTCCGGCAGTGCGCAGGACACTACCCCTGCCGTACAGTCTGCGCCTGCAGTCTCGAAATTCACGAGGAAGGGCAAAATCTCGATCAATTTCGAAGTGAACGATGAAGATGCCAGCGGCAAGAGGCCGCAACAATCTGCCATCGCCGTCGCATCGTCGACGGAGACGGTCACGGTGCAGCCCGCGAAAGCAATCATATCAAAATCTTCATCATCTGATGAAGCGAAGAAGAAGATGAAGGAGAAGAAGGTCAAGAAAGACAAGAAAGAGAAGAAGAAGGACAAGAAGAAGGACAAGAAGGACAAGAAAGAGAAGAAGTCAAAGAAAGACAAAAAGGAGAAGAAGAAGAAAGTGAAGGAGGATGCAGAGAGCACAGACAACGACGACGACAAGGGAGACAGCAACGACGAGAAGGAAGTCACAGCGGCGAAGACGACCAAGTCGAAGAAGAAGGAGAAGAAGGAGAAGAAAGAGAAGAAGAGCGAAGCGAGCGCCAGCGAAGACGGAAAGAGGGTCCACGAGCTGCGGAAGCACGAGAAGAAGCTCGACCTGTCGCGCAGCGGGCAGCAGGACGGCGCCAACGCCGTCACCAACACCGTCGAGGTGGCCCACGTCAAGGGCCTCCACCCAACCATCGTTCAGTACACAATCGTCATCCACTGTGTCGTGTGTGCCGTGTGTGTCATATGTGTCGTGTGTGTCGTGTCGTGTGTGTCGTGCGACTCACGTGTGATGTTATTAGGAATCTGGAGCAGCAGTTTGGTATCGCGCAGTTCTTCCCGATCCAGGCCCAAGTCATCCCCGTCATCCTGCGCAGCGTTGCCTGCGGCGGGTGCGCTCCCACTCCTCGCGGCGCGTGTGCGTGTGCGGTCGTGCGTGTTGCTCGCCCTAACCCGCCGCGCTGCGCACCACCACAGACGTGGCGTGGCTGTCCGCGAGGAGGACGGCGTCTCCATCGGCGGCGACATCTGCGTGTGTGCGCCCACCGGCTCGGGCAAGACCCTCTCCTACGCCGTTCCCATCGTCAATGTACAACCACCGCGCCACCACCCACCTCACAATCGTTGTTTCACTGAACCTCGTCCACCTCCGCACACGCGCGATCGTGTGTGTCGTGTGTCGTGTGTGTCAACAGACGCTGCTCAACCGGGTGGTGGTCCGGCTGCGCGCGCTGGTGATCCTGCCCAACCGCGATCTGGCGCTGCAGGTCAAGTCCGTCTTCGATCTCCTGTGCGAGGGAACCGACCTCAAGGTCAGCCAACCGCCCTTCACCCTCTGCCCAGCAGGCACATCTCTTTTAGCCTAACAATTTGTGCACCTGCGCGTGTCGTGTCGTTGTGTGCGTGTGCGGTGGTGGGCGTGTGTCGTCGTTTAGGTGGAGATTGTGGTGGGCCAGAGCTCCTTCCGCAAGGATCAGGAAAAGCTGGTCCAGGGTGAGGAGGGACCGGACGCCGCGGACCTGCGCGGCGCCTCAACAAGCGAGGCCGAGGCCGGCGACCGCTCCGCGCCCGCGCTCAAGGAGTTGGTAGACATTCTCATCTGCACACCCGGTACGCCTGACTTGCAGACTCTCTCGCATTCATGTATTGACCGCACACGCACACACACCACCGCACACACCCACCGCACCGCACGCACCTCACCGCACATGCACACACCTCACCGCACACGCACACCTACACGCACACGCACACGCACGACCGCCGCACACGCGCACGCAGGACGTTTGATGGATCTGTTGAACCAGACGCGCGGGTTCACGCTGCAGCACCTGCGCTTCCTCGTGATCGACGAGGCCGATCGTCTGCTGGACCAGTCGTTCCAAGACTGGCTCAACAAGGTCCTCCAAGCCACCCACTCCAGCACACAAGGTAATGCGCGTCGTGTTGCGTGTTGCGTGTGCGGTGGGAGCGTGCGGTGGTCTGTGCTGCGGTGTGTGCGGTGGTGCGTGCGTCGTTGAGCTGACTCTCGTGCAGGGCGGGTGTACGGATGCGTCGACGAGACGGACCAGGAGGCGCATCTCCGGATCGATGCCCGCACCATGCGGCAGCTGACCAGCGTGCGGTCCGTCCACCTGTCGTCCACCGCCCTCCACTCCATCATCCCCGAAGAACCCGAACCCGTGCGTACCCCACCTCCGCACACGCACCACCGCACACGCACCACCGCACGCGCACCACCGCACACGCGCCACCGCACTCGGCGTCTCACTTTTGGTTGGTGTTGTTGTTCGTGTGCAGCTTCATAAGTTGCTGTTCTCGGCCACGCTCACCAACAACCCCAAGAAGATCGCCGCGCTTCGACTCAACAACCCGCACTTCTTTTCGGCCACCTCCACCGGCCTCTACAAGATGCCCGAGAAGCTCCAGGTGCGTCGCCTTCATCTGCACCGACTCACCGGGAACCCAACACACACACACCACACACACACACACACACACACAACACTGAAACTGTTACGTCGGTGCGGTGGTGTGCGGTGGTGTGCGACTCTATTATAGGAGTACATGGTCATCTGTAGCTTGGCCTACAAACCGCTCGTGTTGCTGTACCTCCTGGAGATGTTCGACTTCAAGCGCACGCTGTGCTTCACCTCGTCCGTCGAATCCACACACAGGTGAGCGGCACATTGTATCATCATGACCGCTGGCGTCAGACTAGTCAATACCAGTCAATACCAGTCTGACGCGTTGCTCTTTCTTTCCTTCTTTCTCTGCGCACGCACCAGGCTGTACCTGCTGCTGACGCTGATGGGCCAGACGGGCGTTGCCGAGTATTCGTCGACGCTACCGCAGCGCAAACGCACGCAGATCATCGAGAAGTTTGCCAAGGGCGACATCAAGATGTACGTCACTTCCGCACACGCACACACCGCACGCACACACCGCACGCGCGACACATACGCACGCGCGGACTCTTACTGTCGCACCATGGCACCATGGCACAGTGTGATCGCGTCCGATGCTATGTCGCGCGGGTTGGATATTGAGGACGTGGAGAACGTGATCAACTACGACGTGCCGCCCTTCATCAAGACCTACGTGCACCGGTGCGCTGCTCTGCTGAACTCTATTTAATTTAATTTAATTTAAACCAAATTAAATTAGTTATTTATTATTTTCAGTTTTATTATTATTTGTTTTGTTATTATTTTGTAATTTTTAACTCGGGTCCAATAATTGCAGAGTGGGCCGAACTGCGCGAGCAGGCCGGCAGGGCAAGACGTACACGCTCCTATTGAAGTCGGAGGCGCACCACTTCAGGTCCATGCTCAAGAAGGCCGAGCACTCCACCAAGGTACGCTGCGGCCCCGACCAAACTGCTGCCCCCCTCGAGGGAGGGAAGCACAGTGATGGACCAACGTGTGTGCGGTGTGTGCGGTGTGTGCGGTGTGTGCGGTGTGTGCGGTGTGTGCGGTGTGTGCGGTGTGTGCGGTGTGTGCGGT